AAGTTGAAGTACTAAAAAAAAAATTTAAACTGACAAAAATAGTTTAAATAAAACGATATAGAAACAAAACTACTAAAACAGTTCAAATTAAAATATAATATAAAAATAAAAAAAATAAAAAAAAAACTTTAAAACATTAAAGCTGAAATAAAATACAATATAAATATTAGATGAAAAATAATACAAAGAAACTACATCTATATAAAAATATTAAAAATATCTGTAAAAATAATTACATAACCAAATTACTATAACTAAAACAATTAAAAACTTATAAAATTAAATTTAAAATTAAAAATGCTGCATTGACAACTAAATGAAATAAATAATTTTAAGTACTAGAATTACTAAAACTGAAATAAAAGACACTTTAAAATTAAAGCTATATAGAAATAAAAAAAAATAAAAATGATAAAAGCACGAAAACTAAAAATAGTTTTCGATAACTGAAAAAGCTGAAATAAAATGCAAAATAGATGAAAATAATAAAAAATAACTTAAAGCTATATATAGAAATCAAAATAATAATAATAATAATAATAACAATCGTAAAATGGCAAAAAATTACAACCAAATTACTAATAATAAATCTATTAAAAATCATTTTCAGTAATTGAAATAGTTGAACAACTTATAAAATGTAAACAAAAATTTGAAATTTTAAGAAACTAACTAAAATAAATTATTTTAAATTAAATTACTAAAATAACTAATAATAAAACAGAAAAAAGCTATATACAAATATGACAAAAAAAAACTAATAAAATCACAAGCACATAGCAAAATAACTAAAACTGACAATTAAAATATAAAAATAATTCAAAATATAAAAAAATAAAATAGCATATGAGCACCACTAAAATAATACTGGATCAAAAAAATAACAGACTGAATTTTGACTTTGTGCAGCACAACACGTCACAGCATGTGCCATACCTTCAGGCAGCGGCTCCAACAATCAGCTCATTTTTAAGGCTTTCCATTAGGGCTGTCAAAAAAAATTCGAATTTCTAATATTCGTTGAATTTAAAATAAAAATCCACATTCGAATGCAAAAACGTTGCATTCGAATTTTAGGTGTGCGTTAAGGAGGCAGCCTTATCAGTGGCACACGAGATGCGATGATGATGATGTGAGTGTCATTGCATTTTAATGTTTTTGTCAGCCTATCCAGTTAAAGCCACTAGATTGCAGCGTTGTTAACACTAGCGTTGTTAATTACAAATATTGAATGAAGAGAGAACATCAATGTGGAGAAGATCTTGTTTACATCAAAACTGAAACCAAGCCGTTCACACAGAACGCATATTTCGCGCATTTTCTAGAGGGACATCTATCAACGTTGCATTCGCGTCTCGCACAAAAGCAGCCGCATGTTTAGAAAGCCATATAAAATTAATGTAAGTTCAACTTTGAAAAAAACATATCTCGAGACTTTATGGTGGGTTTTCCCCCATCCCACTGCAACTCGTGTTTTTAAATGAAAAATGTTCTCCGTGTGATTGGCTTTCGGCCCTTTGTATTAAGCTATGCATACATACATGATGCTGTGTTGTTTATAGTTGTTTAAGCAACTTAATTATAATTGGCTTATAAACATTATTTTAAACATTATGCACTTTTTTTCCACAGATAGTCATGTTATCTTATGCTTTGAATAAACGTGCATTAGTAATATTTTGCTCGATGCGCCCTCTTGTGGCCTCAGAAGAGAAGCCAAAAGCTTTTCTTCACCCTAATTGAAATTATGCATTTTAAATTCGAATATAATTTGAATTTTGATAATATTTAAGTAAAAAATTCGAATTTAGTTTTTCAGACATTTTGACAGCCCTACTTTCCATAATAACCCGGTTAAAGCGGCAGATTTCGACTATAGGTCACATTTACACAAACAGCACACCACAGCATTTTCGAAACTGTCTAAAGCAAGCACTTTCTTAAAGTATTTCCAAATTATCTATGACATGCATTTAACCTTTGTCTTGTCAGAATTATTCCTACAGCAGACTATAAATAAATATAATCCTCCTTAAACCAGTCTGAAGGCCTGTAGAGCAACATTAGTGACTGTTGTGCAAGAGCTGACACAGACAGTGATTCAGACATCTGCAATAGTGTGTTTGTCATCAAGCTCTAGCTAGACTTTAGCATTTAATAGCAAGATGCTAACAGACCTGTCCTCAACAAGCTGCACAGTTTAACAGTACTTAAGGTCACGGGTTGTTTGTCTCAGGAGGCACCACTAATGATTTCACAACAGATTTCTTGTCAGTTATCAGAGTCCTGTCCTGCAACACACACACAAACACACACCGCGTCTCTCTGCCTCCACCTAGTGGTGAGGATGAGTTACTGCAGTGCAGGGATCCTGACACTTACACAAAGCTGCTTTTAATAAGGAATTCAAAATTAAGACTTTAAAAAATGTATGTTTATAGTAGGGGAGAGAGGGCTAAGACGTGTCAGTGGGTAAGCCGTGTGACTCTCCTAATTTAGCAACTGGTGCATTACATCACTTCACCACATTTTGAAAGGATCTCTCATGCACAGTACACAGTTTTTCACATGCACGAGAAAAAACTTTTTTTTAAATATTATTATTATTATTATTATTTTATTAATAAAATTAATTTCATATTTAATTTTTTTTATGTATGCATGCATGAATATTTTTAAAAGTGGCTTGTTACAAAATATTTCCATTTCAAAAAGTGCTGTTCTTTTGAACTTTCTATTCATCAAAGAATCCTGAAGTATCACAGCTTCCACAAAAATGATGAGCGGTTTCAACACTGATAATATTCAGAAATTATTCTAGAGCATCAAATCAGCATATTAGAATGATTTCTGAAGGATCATGTGACTCTGAAGACTAGAGTAATGATGCTGAAAATTCAGCTGCACATCACAGGAATAAATTACATTTGAAAATATATTACAATAGAAAACAATTATTTTAAGTTGTAAAATTATTTTACGGTATTACAGTTTTTACTGTATTGTTGATCAAATAAATGCAGCCTTGGTGAGCTTAAGAGTCTTCTTTCAAAAACATTAAAATCTTACCAACCCCAAACTTTTAAACAATATTTCACCCTCTCTCCTCTAATGCTTAAGGCATGCAAGAACAAGGAGTAACAAGCCATAAACAATCATGTTACAAGACAAGCTAACAAAATGAAGATATTAGCAAGTCAATGAGGAGATGACTAGTAATAAAAACACAGAAGGCACAGAGGGAGGCGAAGGTGACAATGAGACTAGAGACATTCCTCCTTCACGCACGTTTCGCCGTAATCTCTTAACATAACCGCAGCCCGTGACCTCGGGGCGACGGGCGCCAGACGAGCACAATCACTGTGGAGCTTTTCCTGCAGGCCGACCCCCTACAGCGGTCCCGCTCACATAATCATAAACCCAGAGCCCTCGCGTGCTCACTTACACACACAAACACGGACACACACTGCGCTGGAGAACAGCACACACACAGACATCACATGAACAGCTGACTACAGGACTTTGGATATATGGGAGAGATATTTGCTACCTTTCTCAAAAGAATGATCAGTTAAACTTAGCATGCTCCAACAGGTAACAGCTCTCTCAGCTGGATTTCTGTCAAATTAAATGAGCTCAACACTCTGTTCACACAATAAAGAGCGAATAAACAACTCATCTGCTTTGACAGAATCTGAAGGAAAAGTGCCGTCCATAAAGGCTTTGTACTTTACACTCATGCACTTCTGTTGTCTTTTTTAATAAATCCACTTATTTGTAGTTTTTCATGACCTATATTTTGATTTTAATGTTCAGAATATTACATACATACATACATACATACATACGTTACAGACACATAAATATTATACTGTATATTTAAAAAAAAATTATATATATATATATATATATATATGTATATTATATTACATATATATATATATATATGAGTGTGTGTGCGCGTGTGTGTGTGCACGTGTGTGCACGTGTGTGTGAGTGTGAGAGTGTGTGTGTGTGAGTGTGTGTGAGTGTGTGTGTTTATGGTTGGTTTTTTCCCCATCCCACTGCATCTCATGTTTTTAAATGAAAAATGTACTCCGTGTGATTGGCTTTCTGCCCTTTGTATTAAACTATGCATACAGTCTGTTTTGTTTATAGTTGTTTAACCAACTTAATTATAATTGGTTTATAAACATTATTTTAAACACTATGCACTTTATACTGACCAAACCAACCAAAACCAAACGACACTCACTCCACTGACAACGTTAGTTTTTGCATTGTAATGTATTTTTTAATTACCTTTTTTATTTTTCAGAAGCATATATGCATATATTTTGAATATATATTTACAGAATTATATTATTTATAATATATATAATATATTTACAGAACTAATATAAAATTAATAGATTTTAAAATACAGAATATTTTAAGTAGAAAACAGTTATTTATAAACTGTATAAATATAAATTATAAACATAAATTACTTATAAACTATACAAATATAAATTTAAATATTTCACAATATTACTGTTTTTACTGTGTTTTTCACCCAATAAATACTGCACTCTTTTAGCTAACTGTATTATCAAAGTATGATCAAATTATTAAGAGTACCTAACAAATAAAATGAATATGCACAAGTAGTTTCTTGTCACCATTACAACTCAACCTGCTACATAACATGCCCCAGAACACAATATCAGCCATCTACCTCATTCCCAAAGCAGACCCTAAGTTAGCAAAGCAGGACTTCCTGAGAGTTGACTTGTGCTGGCTGCTCTCCTCTGATCATTCTCCTGTTTCAGAGAGCATCAGCTTATGACAGCGAATTCATTTCACAGTCTGGTGGCCAGAGAGGAGACCCCGTATCCCAGCAGCTCTTTCTCCAATCCTTTAAAGCACGAGATCGACCCTCCACAGAGAAGCTGAGATCTACCAGCAGTCTTCAGAAAGGACTGGGGCCCATGTTCACACGAGTGTCTGGTGTCTCTTACCTTTGAGGCGTGACGGCGCTCGCTGCAGTCTGGATGCTGGCAAACCACACACTCCTCATCCTGAGCGGGCTTCTCATCTACAACATTAAATCACACACACACACATACACATGAAAACACCTTACAAACCCAATGTGAAACTCTACATTTTCTAAAAAAAACAAACAAAAAAAAAAACAATTGAGTTGCTATGTGGTTGCTAGGGCATTTTGGATCTAAAGTTAATGGTTAACTAAAACTAAAACCATTAAAAAAAATTGATACATGAAATAAAATAAGCATTAACTAAAATAAAATATAAAAAAAACAACTAGTTGCAAAGGCAACATTTCTCATTTTCGTTTAGCTGAACTCTATGTGCTAAAATTAATGTTTGACATTTCTATTAATTTTTGTTGCTTTAAATGTCTGTATTTTTGTCATTTTTATTTCAGTTTTTGTTTTAGTTATATTAGTAACTTGATGTCCTAAAATAAACTAAAACTGAAATAAAAAATTATCAAAATAATACAGACATATTTAAAAGCAACAAAAACTGTCAAAACAAAAACAAAAAACAAAAACAAAGTCAAACACATAACTAAATGATTTAAACTAACTAAAATGAAAATATTAAATAAATATAAAAACCTTCAAAATATGAATATAAAAATATAATATGTCAGTGTTTACTAAATAACACTGGTTGCTACGGTTTCAGCTTAAGTTTTTTTTTTTCCAAGATTGCTACTTTGCTACTTTATTCTGCAAAAATGTATAAATAAATAAATTTTATTTTATTTTAAAAATTACAATAACATAAAAATAATATAAAAATAAACTGGTTACTAGGGTGTTCTTTTGATCTTTTTTTTTTTTGTCCAGTTATTGTTCCATTTTTATTTTTTTCCAAAAGAAAGTCTAAAAACAAAGCAAAACAAAAACAAACAAAAAAACTAAACAAAACTGGTCTCAACAGATCCTAAACACTGAAAGGATATTTAATGCAATGAAAGGATAAAGACCGAAACAGACAGAGGCACTTTAACAGAACATAAAAAAGATGGGAGAAAGGAAGAGAACGAAAAAATAAATTAAAAAAGGAAGAAAAAAACCCCACAAACATGGTTCAGTATCACTTTATTATTGACTGGATGAAAAGGTGCACTATGCAAAACTAAAGCAATTGACCACACTATAAATATTCGTTTAATGAATGCTAATTATTTCACACACTTTAAGATCGATGTGTCTGTATGCAGATGAGAATTTCAAGACAGTTTGCAGCCCCATACTTTAGTGATTCTCTGTAGAAGTCCACCCAACAACAACTTTCCATTCTCCTCTCCGCCTACAGATTCATTATTCTCAGGAAAATTCCCAACATCATTTCCATCTGGAGATCTAAATCAGCTAAAATGTGTGCCCTCTTCAATAATATGCCTCACTATCCAATCTTTTAGACTGAATCAAGGGCATCATGAATCAAAAACTTGTGGCAAAACCTAAAATCATGCGAGTCAACAGTGTCTGCTTGCTCTAACCACTTCATTGTTTTTGTATCATTATTCCTCATATGTATGGTTTGCAAACCCCTAAGTATCACACTTCAGTGATGATAAAACGTCTTCATATGATAGAACAGGTGGAGAAAAAGCATAATTTTTTACAGTTCCGGCTGGAAAATTCAGTTTAAGGTAGGAACTGTTGTTGTAGCATGGTGCCATTTTTAAAAAATAAAAATAAAAATATAATAATGAAAAATATAATAATAATAAAAGTAATATTAAAAAGTTTAAACTAAATTACTACCTGAGAGACTAGGTAATCTTACAATGGTATTTGACTTTATATAATAATAATAATAATAATATAAACAAAAATTCACATTTAAATATTTCTTATTCAAAATAAGAAAAAATACTTCTTTTTTTTTTATTAAAGAGACAATTTTTACATAATCCAAGAAGAGTAACAACAAGCTACATGATTTGAGGTATTATTCACATTCGTAAACAAACTCTTCAGGATGAGTTACATGCCGAAGTTTAATACTTTAGATAGTGACATACTAAACACCTAAACCAAAGTATGAGCATTAGAACTAGTGATGCTTGTCTTAGCAAACGCCTCTAATAATCACACAAATAAGTGGCCCATAAAACAAAGGCTTACAGTTCCCAACCGACAATCCCAAAGTCCTTCAGCCTTATCATACTCTTCCTCAAAGAAGACCACACAGCAGGGGCGTAGCCATCATTTCAAAAGTGGGGGGGACGGAATGTCTAGTGTTATACCTGTTTTTTCCCTTGTCTAATTGACAGGTTTTATTTTTAATCATACCTTTTTTGCTTTATATGCTTTATGATTATATTATTATATATGATTATAAAACAGAAGAAAGAGAGAAAGAAAGAAACAAAGAGAAAGAAAGAAAGAAAGAAATAAAGAAATACAACAGCATGTCACTGGGACAGTACCCTTAAAAGGACATCTTTGTACCTTATTTACCCCAAAAAGTTTCATAGTTGTACATTAAGGTACATATTGGTACTCTAAGGTACTAATGTGCACCTTTTCGAGTATAAAGTACAAAGATGTCCTTATAAGGGTACTGAGAGTATATTGTTTACATATTTCAAATTGTATTTTGTGTATGTTGTATGTACAGTACATGGCACACAGTAATGAATACTTGCACATTCACATACTACTTTATTCTGTTCTATTCTACAGTCCATGTTTCAGGAATGAAATTATAAAAAGTGTAATTCAAAACAAACTATTCCAAAGAAACTATGTACTGAGCTCAACTGACAAACATATCAAGGTATGCAGACCCTATATCAATTGTACAATGAGATGAAATAAACATTTAGTGTCATTTCTTTTAAGCTTCCTGGCTGGTTTGTTTAAAAGTAGTAGCTTTTTACAGTGTTAAAGCTAACATATATCTCAATATATAAAGCTACTTAAAACTGCCAAAAGTGTTTCTGCGACGTTCCTTCCCATCTATGAACTGCTGAGCAATCATCTCCCTATTTATAGAGTGGAAGTTTCAAAGAGCATGTTTACGCATCGCTTTTGTACAGGCTTTTATGAGGAATGTGAGGAATGCCTCAGATCAGCGGTGAATTTATCCCTCTGTTCTGGAGCACTGGGACGGCTGGCACACTACTGGAACTGTCTGATGGCCTGCCTCCTCCTCCTCCTCCTGCTTTGCTCTGAAGGCTAAAGCGCCCCGTCAGCCGGAGACGCCAGTGTGAGTTATGTAACTCAAGGCGTCTGCTGGAAGACAGATAGCAGACGGCAACAGACTGCCAAAGTACGAGGTGCTTCACTTGAATGTCAGATGCAGCCAACTGCTGCGTCACCACACGGGACAGCAAAACTGTTTACACTCAAGAACAAGCGATATCTATATATAAAATAAAACCAGACAAGGTGAACAGGATCCCATTAAACTGACTTTTGACTATTATTTTGACAGTTTATCTGTATCCTCACTGTAAAAAATTACCAGTAGATTTTACAGTAAAATACTGGCAGCAGTGTTGCCAGCCGGTTACTGTAATTTTTACAGTAGTGCTGCTGCAATTTAATTTACAGTATTTTTTTATTTAATTTTTTATTAATTTTAATTTAATATCGTGTATTTTCTGATTACAGTGATTTTACAATAAGCTACTTTAATGTGTGATGTTGATATAATATTAATGAAAAATAATGACTGGCAGTTGAATTTTAAAGTTAAACTATTTATTAACTTCATAAGCTTTAAACAATATTGAAGTGCTTACAAATACACAACTAAATACTTTTTTTGTTTCTAAAGGAAAGGAACAAGAGTGATGCTTCCCTTTTCATGCATTAGATGAGAAGTTGCATTAAACAGCCTCTCACTGTTTTACTATTTTCACTTCGGTGCAAAAAAGGAAAATGTACTGGTAATTTTCTTCCAGGACATTTTCCAGTAATTTCATGGACATTTCCATTAACCCTAAAACACAACACTATATATGAAGTGCAAAGTTCAAAATACAGGTAAACAGGTACACGTGTAAAAAATAAAAAAGGAAAAATTCTTTCATATTAATATAGTAGATTGTGCCCTAAATGTATTTTTTTTTTAAACAATGAGAGTGTTTAAAATAAGAAAGTCAGATTGTGAGAGATTTTCTTAATATCTCGTCATATTGTGAGAAATAAAGTTACGAGGAACAATAAACAATGAGAGTGTTTAAAATAAGAAAGTCAGATTGTGAGAGATTTCCTTAATATCTCGTCATATTGTGAGAAATAAAGTTACGAGGAACAAAGCTGCAAATGTGAGCTAAAGAGTCTAATGTATAATATAATTTTATATAATTAATATATAGACTCAAATTATGAGAACATCACAATTGCAAGAAAAATAATTCTACAAAATTATTTGGAACGGAAATTGGCAATATTTCAAGCAAAATTTTGGTTGAAAATGCAATACCATTTTTTTTTAATTAACATTTAACATTTGGTTTCAACAAAAAGAGAAAAATGGTCAAAATGTAACAAATACAAAAGTATTGTAAGATTCCATATTCTAAAGTAATTTTGTATTTGTTAAATAAAAATAAATTCTAGTTTTTTTTCTCCTTTTGCTGAAAACCGAATGTAAAATGTCATTTTAGTGCACTGTCAACCAAAAATTTCCCAAGCTGTTTGTTTGTGTGTGCCTATTTTATTTAGACACTGCCCAAGCAAATAAAACTACATAAAGATTTTAAACATGCTGTCTGCTTGAAAAACTAAAAATGCAACATGCACATTTTTATTCATGTCATTGACAGAAAACTGACCGTCTTTGACCACACAGACTTCATGCCTCCAGCCATACTGCTTCTTAAACAACATGCAGAGAGGACTTAGGAGGCCACACACTTGAATCCTGAGTACATACAGTGATTAGGTTTGCCGCGATAGACGGTGCTGACGGTGATACCGGTGTTAAGCCGCAACACCAGTTATGTCACTTGCCCACCGACCCCAACCGTCGTTTAGATTTTTTTATAGTAATAAAAATCATTTAGTTCAGTAAAAGAACAGACACTACAATTAA